TATTTTAGATTATTTTATATTGAATGTTGTAAAGGATAGGTACCGCAAACTTATCTAATATTAATATAATCTTCTACACAGATTAAAAAAATTAATGTGTTTATTTGTAATGTCTAAATGAGCTTTCTACTAAATGCATATATAATATATGGTACTTATAAGAAAACACACAATTTTTAAAAATTTTGTCTGTCTCTCTATCTGATTGTTCCGGCTTACCCTGAAACGGCTGGACTGATTCTGACGAGACTTTCACTGGCAGATAGCTGATGCTATAAGAAGTAACTTAGGCTAATTTCAATTTAGAAAAAGAATTAGGGTTCCGCCCAAAAAAATGAGCGAAGCGAGGCTAAGTCGCTAACGTAATATAATTTTCATACTTTTCTTCTATCATGCAACAAAGATACTATTTCTTACTATTGCATTAAAAAAATAAACATTCTTCACGCTCGGTTGAACCTGTGACCTTTGGTGTGGAAAGACATGACATTTTTTTACTAATACCTAGATTAGTATAGTAGTAATAGAAAAATTATATATAAAATATTATTAATTAGCTGCCTTATCCAAAATTTTATACAAAGACATGATATCTCACAAAAAAGCTCGCTTTATAAATGTTATCAAATGAAATGATAACAATAAAGTTAAATCTAAACAATTTTGATTTGTCGAAAGTAATTTAAAGGTCTTCTTCATTTATACTTCAAGCTGGAAGTTTATAATTTAATTTCTTTAAACTTGTCTCAAGTATAATTTCGTTTTGTGTATCATGATCGTGACGCTTTATATTTTCAATGTTTCCAACGTCAAGATCTCATTTGATTGATTCGTTTGAACGTTGAACTTTTGTGATTTTGAGGTCAATATTGAGAAATATTGTAACTTTTTTTTATATTGGTATTAACACAGCACCATTCAATTCCATGGTATGCTGTCTTGTGTTATTGATACGAGATATTTGATACACTACACATATATAACTTTATATACGTACATATTATAAATATAAAAACCCATGACTAGAGTACAAACATTCGTGCTCATCATACAAATGAATGCCCCTAGCGGAATTCAAACCCGCGACTGCTGGTACTCGTACAGCAAGTACGGTCACTACAAACTGAGCCAAACGTGTCATCAAGAACTGCCCGTTGGTTTAGTGGTTAGCATATACTGTATATAGCTGCTAATCACGAGGCCTGTGTACTCGAGTCGAATTATAATAGATACATGACATTTTTTCAAGAAATTTTTGTTTATTTATTTACTGGCACTAGCAGCAGCAGGACACGGGCCTCCCTTTACTACTAGTGGGATCAGACCATAGTCCACTACGCTGGCCAAAGGCAGATTGGCGGATTTCATAATTATGTCTTTCGAAAACTTGCTAGGTTCTTTTAGACATTTCCTCTCGATGTTTTCCTTAAAACTATGATGATGTTTTCCTAATCATGTTGGAAATGATTCGCACATAAAAATTATCAAAGGTGCAACACCTAGGATTTGAACCCGCTTTACTCGGATTCCCAAGCGAGCGCGTTACCACTGGGCTACCACTGCTATAAACATAATATTACGTTTGATAATTTTTTCCGATCACATCGTATCGTATTGTATAAAACACGTAGTAGGGCTTAGCAAAAATGTAATGTTAGCGTCCTCAGTACTATACTTCACTGTCCACCTGAAGCCTGACCATTGTTATCTTATATTCCCACATAGTTGAATGCATTCCGAAGCTCTGGATACATCAAGCGGATTAGAACTTCCCACGAAGCTTTGTGCAACGTTGAAAAAGATTTAGCAAAAGTGCAAGGCATATGTTATGTGGAAGGTTAAAAAAATGCTGCTAGTGCAATGGCTCATTTATATTTTTAGTTTAAAGTCTTGGCGATGGCAGAACATTATTGGCTTAAAAATATAAATATTATCTAACAATTAATATTGATTTGTTACAGACCTTTGTGATGTGAGCGTAAAGCAAAGAAGATAATTCTCAATTTTTGCTCAGAAAAATATCTCGTTAGATATATTCTTCGTACAAGACTGTATATTATTCTTGAACTGTATGATCCCGTATCGTATTAAAAAGCAATCAATAAACATCTTAGATGGATTTTGTACTAATTAATAGCAGTTTTCCTAAGCAAAAATCATTTTATGCTAATTTCTAATCAAATTCGTAAAAATCCTATTATTCCATGTGTTTCAAAGGATTTTTTGACCTTGTTATCGATTAATCAACCATATTAAGATTTCGCTACTTACCAAGTTAATATTTTGAAATGATAGACATTATTTATAAACTACTAGCTGACCCGTGGCTTCGCTTGTACTAAAACTACAATAAAATACCTAAAAAGGTAATTTCATACAATCTTTTATCGCCTATTTTATCCCCTTATGGGATAAATTTTGAAAAACACTAAAACACGTATTTAATTAATTTTATTGAAGAGCACTAATACCAAGTTTCAAGTAATTCTAATCATAAATATTTTTTTGGATTGTATGATGACATGTTTTCCCGTGGAAATGAGATAATCTCCCGCGGAAAAAAGTAGCCTATGTCACTCTCCAGCCAAAAACTATCTCCACACAAAAAATCACGCCATTCGTCTTCCCTTTCGACGTGAAAGAGGGACAAACAAACAAACACACTTTCGCATCATAATATTATTACGGATATATGATCTCTTATATAGAATTATCTATTAGTATCTGGTCTTCTAGACTAATTAACGTGTCGGTTGACCACCTGAGTCGTGCGGTTCATCGTAATTACAGTTTAACCAATCCGGGACGACTAATGGGAATGGCTAGCACTTGCTTAGCATTATTATCTCGTTCACGTGATAGATATACACATATCTCTAATATATATATATATATACATACATATATATATATATATATATATATATATATATATATATGTACATACATATATATATACATACATATATAAAATAGTATCTTTTTGTCAACCGATTTTCTTTTTTTTTGTTTAGTAATTATTAAAAACCTTAAAGATTTCAGAAATCATCGTATATTGGAAATGGAAATTAGAATTGTCATTTTAAGCACACAGAGACTATTTCTAAACTTTATTAAAGGCTTGTTAAAATCTATACATATAATAAAATTCTAACTGAATCGAATCTGTACATTAAATATTTTTGGGAAAATCTTATTAAAATAGTATTATTATCAATACAGAGGCCAAATCTATAGTTCTTAGAATTTTTATCTGTCTGGGAACACATCACGAGAAAACCACTGGACAGATTTTGACGAAATTTAGTATGATGATAGCTGGTTATCTGAGTCAACATATATGATACTTTTTACTGCGGGAAAATGTCTCATCTCTGAGAAATCTATACTAACCGTTAAACATACCTAGGGGCGAACCCGAGCGGAGCGACGGTGAGTCGCTAGTTATTACTATAATAGTTGTAATAAATTATCCTGAACGCAAAGCCGCGGACCACCTGTAGCTTGATTTACGCTGACTTTCCTCGACATTATCTGTTTTTCTTAATTCTTTAAACGCTGGGATTGCAAAAACTTTAATTATGTTTCTGTAATGGCGGCGTGTCAGGTGCCGGCGTTGTGGTACAAGTAATAAAATGTTACTAACAATTTATTCTTACTAAAGTTTACTCAGTATATTATGTGAATTGTGTTTGTTTGTTTATTGAAATTTAATACGTAGATAGACTTAACCTGATATACTCGTACGTAGATAGATTAGACCTAGAGTGAAACCTAGGTTACCGTTGGGTTCATAAGTTTTTATACTGTTCTATATCACTCTAGATAAAACTGTAGATATGTAAACTTTGAAGAAATTTTTGTTTAATTACTTTGTTTTATTTTCGAAATCTCGTTCGTAGAGGTAAAAACAGTTGGAAAAATTTATGTGTATAAAAATATTTTTAAAATACCTCAATTCCAGTAATTTAATTTGGATATTACATTAATTAAATTTAATGAAAATTACATTGGTTTTATCCAAAATTTAACTTGCTGAAGATGGTTTTAGTTGAAAATTGCATAAAACAGAAGCAAAATCAATGAAACATCCTATCCTCCATAAATATTTGTGGTACATAAATATAAAATTCTAGCTTTTGTTAAATAAAATACCCTAAAAACAATTAAAGGAATAAAAATATTTTAAAACAAATTAAAATAAATTAAAAAAAAAACTAATTTAATCTAACTAAAATATTTTACCTTTTAGAATCGCTACAGCACCTAAATTACACCACAAAATATTTGTTTACCCTATCCCAAAAAGGGTTTTGCTTAAAATTCCATTTAGAAACCGCTAGCCGTCAAGGTAGGATGAACAAAGAAGTTATTACTTAATGATTTTAATTTCCACCCTCAAAAAGTGCTGATTTATCAACGATGGTTATTGTAATCCGACCACTGACATAATTCTTTTGGACAATCTAATTCTTTATTTAGTTTTAATAAACCTTTGTTTTTGTTGCGTTTGAGTACTTTTAATGAGGTTATGTAAGCAAAATCTATACATATAATAAAATTTTAACTGAGTCGAATCTGTACATTAAATATTTTTTTGGAAAATCTTATTGAAATAGTCATTAGTATCGGAACAGAGGCCAAATTTATAGTTTCTAGAATTTTTGTGTGTCATCTGATGACATGTGATGCGTTCCCACATCACGAGAAAACCACTGGACAGATTTTGATGAAATTTAATATGATGATAGGTGATTATCCGGGTCAACATATAGGATATTTTTTACTGTGGGAAAATATTTCATCTCTGAGAAATCTATCTAACCATTAAAACGTATCTAGGGATGAACCCAAGCGGAGCGAGGGTGAGCCGCTGTTATAAAATAACTCTTTTGTTATGGCTGATGAAAATGTGTTTCCAAATCTGATCACGATTATAATTTAAACAGTCCGTGACTTTCATATACAGTCAGATTTTACATTGTATATTTTCTCCATAGAATGCGGAAAGCGTCGAGTAATAGGTGCAGCAAGAAAGCGCATAGTGGGTGGGGTGGAGGCGTCTCCTGGGGATTGGCCGTTCCTGGCGGCGATCCTGGGTGGACCTGAGGAGGTGTTCTACTGCGCTGGAGTCCTGGTAGCTGACCAGTGGGTGCTGACTGCCTCTCATTGTGTTGGCAAGTGAGTTTAGTACAAATTTATGATCGCCTCTTGTTTTTAATTCTTATTAAATAATAATCATGTGCATAAACTAAATAAATTGGGTTATTTTATTTATTCTATTAACTGAATATATGTATGTATAATTCAGATAAAAATATGTGAAACATATATATAAATGTTTTTCCTAAAACCTAATTTAAGCCTTATTCGAAGTTAGCCACAGATAAATCAGATACTTGCCAATACTATACCAAATTCTTAGTTCATACTATGCCAAAATTCACGGGTTAATTGTATGTAATGGACACTTATTTATACTAGAGTTTTAGCCTCATAAAATTTAGGCTATTATTAAGACATACTCGTATTTGCAACTGGTGTTTTATTAATAATAAAATAAAATAACCTACCTTCTTAGGCTTCCCTCGTGCCCAAATTATTTCTCTTTAAGCTTATGGTCCTAGCATTTCTGGTCAGAGCCTTTTTATCTGCTAGACTTGAGACTAGTACTCGATAGTACATATTGTAATCTGGTTAGATCGCAAAAATCTAAGTCAAACAAACTAAAAATTATCTATATTAATACCTTTGCCAGTCATTCCGATGTGAATGGGTGGACCATCCAGCTGGGTATCACTCGACGACGCTCGCACGCCTACTACGGGCAGAAAGTGAAAGTCCGACGCGTGGTGGCACATCCGTTGTACAACGTGGGCGTCGCTCATGACAACGACATCGCCCTGTTCCAGGTAAATGCTGTTTTATATAAACAGCTTATTAGTTATTACTTTAAACTTATTGTTTCTTGAAAATAACTAAGCTTTATATTTAGAAAAATTATCGGCTTTTCGAGTAATGAAATATTATTATAAATGCGAAAGCTTTTATTTGTATGTATGTGTGTGTATGTTTATTACTTCTTCATGGTGAAATGGCTGAAAATGAGTGTTTGGTGATTGAATTCAGCCAGAACTATGTATATACTGCGCGTGTTGGTGAATCTTCATAAGTCACTCATGTTAACCAAGATTTAGTTAAGAAATTAGTACATAATACTCTAATTATTTTCCTTATAAATATTTCTTCTCATCGTCGTAACTCTTAACTAAACTCCATAGCTTATTGTTGAGTTATCATAAATAAGGTTTTTAGTAGAATGTAAATTATTATGGATTGTTTAAACACTATGTTTTTTTTTTGTTTGGCTGATGCACTTTTGGCTCAATTTGTAGTGAGTTTACTTGCTGTGCCAGCGGTCGTGGGTTCGAGTTCCGCTGGATTTGTGTATATATTTATAATATGTATGTATTTAAAGTTATATATTTGTAGTATATCAACTATCTGGTATCCATAATACAAGTCTTGTAGCTTACCATGGAACTAGATGGTGCTGTGTTAATGCCCCAACATATTTATATTTATGTTTATTTTATGTGTTACCTATATTTATCTTTTAAAAGATTCCATTATCGCAATATAAAGTTCGCAACAGACTAGCAACTCTTGTCGTAGTTTCATTCAAAGTCAGTGGTGACCACTTATCATCACTGTTTGAAAAAAAAGAATACTTTACTTCATAATATATATATATATATATATATATATATATATATATATATATATATAAAAAACCAAAATTGGTCAAGTGCGAGTCGTACACGCTCAAGAAGGGTTCTGTACCATCGTACATGTACTAGTTGCTTTTTTTAAATTTACTTGGCAGCCATTATGAAATTCATCATCTTGGTTTTTTTATATTTTTTTATAGCGACAATAGAAGTACACACTGTAAAAATTTCAACTCTCTACCTATTACGGTTCATAAGATACAAACAAAAGGACGAACCACGGAGGCTTAGTAATAGGGTTCCGTTAGCACCCTTCGGGTACGGAACCTATACCTAATTAAAATCCTTACATTTTTCGTAGATTTTACTAAATAACTTGCACGTTTTTATATTTACCTTTTAATGTGTATTTCAATATGTTTCTTTATGACGCTTAAAACAATAGAGACAAATGGGTCTTATAATAATTAATTAGTTGCCAGTCATTTGTCAGTGTGACGCCACGCCCTACGTGTCGCGTCTTGTAACGCGCGCGATGCTCTTTAAAGAACATGACATTTATGATAACCTCCCAGAAAATTAAAACGCAATCAAAATTTCATATTAATTTCCATTTAAATAAATTCCATTTTACTTGGAAGATGTATGGATTGAGATATAGCTCATTAGTTATTTGATATTTTGTCTGTCTGTTTGTATTCAAACATAGGTAGGTACTCTGAGATTAAAATCGAGCTACCTATTATTATAAATGCGAAAGGTTGTATTAGTGTGTGTGTATATATGTTTGTTATTTTTTCACCCTGAAACTGCACTCACACCACTGATATTCTCATGTGCGAATCATTTCCAACATGAATAATTGACCCGAACTTGACCAGCGTGGTGGACTATGGTCTGATATCCTTGTAATCATAGGAGGCCTGTGCCCAGCAGCGGGACGTAAAAAAATTATTCTGTCCAAATATGAGTACACAGATGAACTACGAACTATCGTAACACAGAATCCTGTTAGGCACGAAGCAGGAAGCAAGGTAAAGTCGCTAGTTTAATATATATATTTCGTTACCAGCTGGCAGTACGAGTGCGGTATCACGAACAGTTATCGCCAGTATGCTTGCCGCCGGCGCAGCGCGCCCTGGCGCCCGGCACCCTCTGCACGGTCATTGGATGGGGGAAACGAGATGACAAAGACAGTATGTATATTGTATATATTATAATAACCATTAAGTTATATTTGGTGCTAGATAAATTATATCGCTTTGCTTGTTTATTATTATAATATTATTATTGTATTAATTACCATATTATATTTAAAAAACTATGTCGAATACGAACAAACTCTAAAGCAGAATAAATAAAGAAAATCACGTAACGTGAACTTTTCAATGTTTAAAATACTAATGTATGTTAGATTTACGTGAACGAACATTTTTCTCTGGTAACTCTACATTCGAGTCGACTCGCAGTTAGTTCAATGCCTCACTAAAGGAAATGCATTCGTGCGACGTGTTTCCTGTCACAACGTATTTTTACTCTGGATTTTCTAGAAATCATTGCGGACATTTCGTAGAAATTGTATCTATTTTTCTTACCTATTTAATTATTATTTTTACTCGGAAATAAAAGTCGATAGTATGTAAAGACTTCCAAACTCTGGGCCGCTACTTCGACTATCTTGGCACAGCGCTAAACTCAAACACAGGACCTTAAGATATGCTGCCACTGAACCAGCGATACATAATCATGACTCCACAGGAAAGTTCCTAAATATATGCATTCCTCTTTCACGCTATTCCGACTCGCACTTGACCAATTTTTATTTCTTTACTAATTTCTTGTAGTGTCAGAATACGAGCCAGCAGTCAATGAAGTAGAAGTGCCGGTTTTGAACAGAGACCTGTGCAACCAGTGGCTAGAACACCGTGACCTAAACGTTACCGAAGGCATGATCTGCGCGGGTTACCCTGAAGGCGGAAAGGATGCATGTCAGGTAATGAAAAATGATAAAAAAAAATAATAAATAAATATAAAGATATATATGTATTATACCTTTAAATGAAATTATTTTTACGTTTATGCTAAATCTTAGCTGTGTCTTCACTTTCGTGTTTAGTTTCCATGTTGGAACTTCGTTCATTTAATCGGCAGTAAGCCTATCAATTATTAGGAAAAGTAGCCAAGTCACTGATATTGAAATTCTGTAAGAGCCAATAAAAGTTCTATGTAAATTGGCTCAACCATTCATAAATAGCTGTGGGTAAATTTGAAATAGCTGCCTCATATTAATCGTTTGAAAAAATATGCATTTGTATCCGATGATTTCCAGAACATTTGAACATTTAAGTTCGTTTCAAATCAGGATCGAAATAATATAAGAAGTCAGCTTTCATATAACACTATCTTTTCGGATTATTTCGCGGATTTATTTTGATTTTTGGTTCCCGACCATTGTCGTTGGTCGGGAACCAAAGATCAAAATAAATCTCAAAATAATCCGAAAAGATAGTTTTGTTTAAAATAATTTTTACTCTTCTAGAAAGTAAAAAATGAAGGAATTTAATATTGCTATTAAATATACCTGATTTAATATCTACTTTTTGGGACCATTTCCAAGTGACAATTACCAAATAATACCGGTTCTCGTTCAGAGCTCCAATACCGGTCTGGCTAACTTGCAAAATGTAATTCAAATACCTAATCAAAGTATTATAAGCCTTCACAATTAACAAAATATATTTTAGCATTAAAATAGCATTATTAAGCTTTGATCAAACTACAGTAATAAACTAAAAGACGAGTTAAGTCCTTCATTTAAATAGAAACCAACAAAATACAAATGTAAATGCAAATGGTGTCTTCTGTATCCATTGTTCGCATATTTCAATGTCACACCGATACTGACTTAACAACACCTATAAAGAACAAAACGAAAAATAAATTAATCAATTTTAGCTATAATAGCCTAATTATAGTCTAATGCTGTTCTGGAGATTGATTAGGTTTTATCAGAAGATCGTGTTAATATTTCAAAACTGACATTTCTTAGAAGCTTAGTGGAAATAAGAAATTTTAAACCCTGACAAGAGTAAGTTATGTTGGCGAGAACCACTCAAAGTTAATTATGCTCAATTACCTTATGTACAATCTATGTTGTCATTTGCGTAGTTTACATTTTGTTGATGATGAGATGGAGTTATGGGTATGTTGAATCACGCTATTGTTTGGTTCTGTCGAATTAGCAAAAAAGAATAATTGAGAAACATATTAAATGACGGTCCAAATCACTGGTTGTTTTATTGTGACATCAGAAGGAGACGAAGTGTCTCCTGAAACAGAAGTGGATCGTACACCTTACTATTAACAAAGGAAGTCCGAAGTAGGCTGCATGGGTGTTCCCATGAAAAACTCTTGAGTTTGTAAAAACTTGTACACGAAATTTTAAATAAATATGGTTATTATTTATATTTCTTATCGTATTAAAAATGGTCAAAATTCTGAGTTATATTATAGGATACCCGATGGGATAGATGGATTGCGTTCATCAACTATTGTAGATTATATGCTAAGATGCAGTAAGCTAAAGAAATTATGAATAGTAAAAAATTCTAGTAAACGCAGTCGCTTTACATAATTGTGCATTTCTTAATTTTAATTTAAATCGTTGAATGGAAATGACTGGACGGATTCCAATTATTGTCTTCATCTGAGCTTTTTTCCAAGATTCAAAAATATAACTTTTATAAGCTCTTTAACTCATTTATAAAATGAGTTATGAGAATCGGTTTTGAACTGAATAAAAATACACGTGCGACGCACCAGTCAGTGATTAATTCTGCAAGAGAAATCTTTTTCATTTCTTTTCCTTGCCACTAATACCTATTGTATGCACTCGTATATCCAGACATTGTAGACCATCTTTAACTTACAAGTATATTGCTTCTTATGATATACATCGTTGCGACCACATATTGTTAATAATTCACTGTAGTTTCCAAACAAATATAAAAAACAAGCGACTCACCCTCGCTCCGCTCGGGTTCGTCCCTAGTTACGTTTTAACGTTCAGTATAGATTTCTCACAGATGAGATGTTTTCCCGCAATAAAAAGTATTCTTTCTATATGTTGATCCGGGTAACCAGCTGTAATCATACCAAATTTCATCAAAATCTGTCCAAGTGAAGGAAGAAAAGGAAGAAAGTGGTTTCTCGTGATGCGTTTTCAGACAGACAAACAGGAATTCTAAAAACTATAGATTCGGCCTCCGTATCGATTATAATGACTATTTCAATAAGATTTTCCAAAAAATATTCAATGTACAGATTCGATTCAGTTAAAATTTTATTATATGTATAGATGATAAATTGTTTTTAAGACTAGGTTTTATATCAAACAGAACCGTAGTCAATAGAATACGTTTAATATAGCTGCTGTTATTTGAACAGCAAGCCGTTCATTCAATTCTTGTTTGTTTTTTAAAAACTTTATTGATACGCAGAAGTATAAATAACAATCGTCGAGAAAATAGTAGTGTTATTTAGACGTATTGAATATTGTCATGGAAAATAAATTTGTTTTATTCGTTATTTTGTTTTTATGTTACTAAAGAATTTCTACTGACCTACATTATATTGGTTACTGTTAGCATACTTTACTCGTAAGTTTGTTTATCTTTGCTTTGTTTATGAGAAATTTCAACTTAAACCGGATAATTTATAACGATATCCTTCATCGGAAAAATCATTAGTATTTTGATAATCGCAGAAAGCAAATTTCAGAACTGACCACCAAATAAATTGACCCTGTTTGAGCGTCATTTCCTAACGCATACTGGCACATTACAATTTGCAAAGACGTGTTGTGAAGTGTCACTGCGGTTAACAGATTTATTTCAATTTTGTTTCATTCATTACAGGGTGACTCGGGCGGTCCACTGCTATGTAAAGACCCAGATGATCCTCAACGCTGGTACGTCGGCGGGATTGTGTCCTGGGGCATAAAGTGCGCTCACCCTCGCCTCCCAGGGGTATACGCTTACGTCCCAAGATATGTTCCCTGGATTCTACACCAAATTGCGACATATAACGACGATTACGCTCGCTCTGAAGACTGAGAACAGCCCTACCACTTAGTGGTATTACCACAGCGTAACACTGGCAACGATGTATAGGTCACCACTTTGCCTTATTTATACGAATCAGTTCCTTTCACACATATTTATAATAATTGACAGTTAAAGTTAGGTGTAGATCTTATAGATATTTATTTAACCGACTTCAACAAACAAACAGTTATTGATTTTAGGGCAAAAATATATATAGGTAGTTCTTTTTAAATTAATTTTGTATATCTAACATAATCGTAAACAAATCGGATGAACAGCTTTGGATTATTTCATGGTACTTCACTAGTAGAGTAAGACTATTGGGATTGTGTTATTAAATTGTATTTAAATAATATTTTTACATACATTTTAAGAGATTTTTACACATGTTTCGAAACTGAAGTCGGTTATAACAAAAAACTTTTATAGTGTCAATTACTACGAGTGGTTACGTCTACATCGCAGTGGCGTGTTCGGACAATAAAAGATAATACGTGACAATAAACATAGATTAAAAGAAAAATTATAGGCTATGACAATAAAATGACTTAGGACTTATTTATATGCGGTATTAAAATGGCTGAATATTTTTACATGTCGCTCTTATGGCGTGTTGAGTAAATTATTTGATGCTGTGATACTATGGAATGTAATGCGGGACGGGAAGTATCCCGACGTCAAACATTTTTTATACCTGTGTATGTACGTTTATTTCACGTTTCTCGACACTTTTTCTCGGGGTCTATAACGTCATAGTGTTACGTATACAGAGTTTTGCTTACGAGTAGGGTTACCAAGCTTTAGCGTAAACTATAGGACTTTTTATATGACACCTCTTGGTTTATTATCTTTCCTTTCATCCCTAGTTGATAGTTCGATGTGTATTTGTTTGATGTTTGGTGTTGTAGCTTTAGTGAGAAGTGCTTTTATAGAATATATAAAGTTTTCATTTGGATGGCCACTTTCGCCTATACTTTAAAAACTAGCTGAGTTGGCCAAAGTTGGTGGTCACTAGTGTGTTGGCTAAACTCCACCTAGTACTAGTAAGATTATCATCCAGAAGAGAACGCTCTTCCTTTCGACAATAATATGGAACGAAAGTCTTTTATAAAAAAATAGCAGTTCTTCAAACGCTGAAACACCTTTTGATATTGATATAGTTTTATAGAATACGTATATAAAATGTCTTTTTTTTTAAAGTTTAATCGTAACTTAGATGTTCTAAGACAATAACACAGTCTATGTGAAAATTAGAAACATAGCTTTAATAGTCAGTAAGTGTAAGTACTCGTAGATGGAATATACCTAAAGTAGGTATATGTATATTTAATCTGTAAACGATATCTGTTCTTTGTAAACGATTTTTTTTAAAGTTATTATTTTATATATAACATGTACTTACGGCGTGTGTCCTGTTTATTGTATATTTTATATATTTAATTGGAAATGATTTCTATTTAGTATTCTACTGTATAAATGTTTCAAACACTAAGTATAGAGAAATAGCGAAAACTATGCTCAAAGTTGCTATCATAGATTCGTGTATTATATTATATAGATATTATATATTTAAGTATGAATGGCAATGCAGTTTTTTCTAAAATACTAAGTTCATTTAGTATTTTAGTAGTCTAAAAATATTTCTAATTATATATATATATATATATATATATATATATATATATATATATATATAGCATGTTTTAATTTCATGTCGTGTTATCCATATTCTACTGACTTCATTGGTGGTTACTAATCTTGTTGGCGATATCAGTGCAAAAATAATAAAGTATTAAATATAATGTTACAAGCTTGAAACGGTCATTCTAATAGTTCAATTGTGCAGCGGGTTTTCGACACTGTTCATTTGACTTCATCACACAATATTCCAATGATCCTACGTAATGAACCAATATTACCAACCATAAATCTCCGAACGAATGTCATGATGGCGTCTCGACTATATATATACATATATATATATATATATATATATATATATATATATATATATATATATATATATATATACTATATATATATATATATATTCTTGAATCTTAATTTTAAATTACTTTAAACAATACTGCCTTTATACAATAACAAGGTTTTATATTCTAGCAGAAAAGATAAATAAATACTCCTCAGACATATATATCAATAGACTCTGTCGGCCGATATTATTTTATTTTTGTTTAGGTGCTATTGACGAGTTTTAGTGTTACCAATAATTTTTTTTAAAACAGTTTTTTTATATAGATAGGTAAATTCTATTCATATTTATATTGCCTCAAATTTTCAATAATGATTATGATCGGATTTTTACCACTGAACGAACTACTTTAATTAAATATACGTTTTTATTTAAAACTATTTTTCATGTAAATTTTAAAATTCTTATATTTTGTCAGTAATATGGGATTTGATTTTAAATTTTAACATTTTGAGAAATATATGAAACAATGTGTAGAGTTAAATTGTATGCCTTTTGATAAAAACTGTGTTGCTAATCGTACCACAAAGGTTGTCGACTTCTTATGAGTCCCCTTCTTTACTCGAGCTTTCTATTAGCATTAAATATATAATATAGCATTTAATGTAAAACCCTATTTATATGAAATGTAAGTGTGACACTACACTGCAGGTTTTTAATCGACATAAAACTTGAATGAAAATCGATCAGATTGAAAACGTATATAAAAACTAAATTGTAGATATAAAAAGTAAAGGTTTCTTAATGAAAATATTCTCATATATAATATAAATATGTATTTATTACATTACATATATACTAGCCGTCACCCTCTTTGCTGAGAGTACGTAAATGTACGTAATTAGGTCTCTTTAGGTCAAAGACCTTAATGCTATTTAGATTTTTCGCTTAATAAATAAATATTTAGGTTAAATAAAAACAAATTAATAAAAAAATTACGTCAACTGTTTTTATTAGCCGGAAAAATAATATAAAAGTAAATAAAAAAAAATGTCGTGTCGTTTGGTCTTATACTCGTACGTTCAGTAGTTTTTACGTAATGGCATAATAAAGGAAAATTGATTTATATACAATATACATACATACATACATATAAATTTATAAACCACTTTATAGTTTGAGATAATCTCTTCGTAAGATGCTCTCAATAGCTCTCAACCTAGATAGGAAAATTGAATGAGCTTTGGTTGGTTAAAAATCTGCATTGTAGAGTGAGAACTTTAGAGACAATAAATGTAGATGGTAAAAATGTATTATTTCTTTTAGAAAATTTACTTCAATGATCATTTCTAGTCGTAATTACTTTAGTATTTAGTAAAATAAACTTACTTATGAATGAAAATATAGGGAATTAATTTTTATAATTTATACGATATATATTACTGTTTCCATAAGATAGGTATAGACTTAGGTAGGTCTAGGTCTAGGCACTAGATCAGCTTTAGCGTTTTTCTACAGTTTCACATTCAAATTGAGTTAATTTTGTTAATTATTATATTTCTTTTAATATTCTAATTCAAAACGAACTTATTGATCTTGGAAGATTTCAGCGAAATATTTTTCAAACTGTACACTTAGTTACGTACCCTCTTCGTCTTAGATATCGTTAGTCGCTTTGTTTTAGATACAGTGGTGTGAAAGCACTGAGTTACATAAATTTTATAAATAACACGAAATGCATTGGTATTTGGCTTTATATGGAACATGAGAAATGTTCGGCTCTAAATGTTTATACTTGGTAGTATTGTAATATAAATATACGAAACTGTACGTAGCATAATGTGTAGATAGTTGCTGATGAACTCAGTATGTAGTCGGTAATGTGTTCATCCCAGAGCCGATGGCTCGATACTAAAACTAAATTTATATATCAAGTTGCATAGAATAAATGTTTTATACTATAAGATTCTTAAACACTTAGCTAGAGGCGTTAAGATTTTTATTTCGTTACAGATTGTATTGTAATGAATGTGGATCGATGGCGATAACGTATGATTAAAATTTCTTAGATTTACTATTAAAAATCAGGTAAAACAAGCTTTGACGTTGTCGCATTCAAGTTTGACCATTTCTAGATTTTATTTCTACATAAGAATAATCGTAAAGCCTATATTTATAATATCGGAGATTATATTTATTAAAAATATATCAGTATATACCAGGTTTACTAATGAATTTGTTGGTAGGGCTTGAGTTTGTGGGCTCGGAAAGTCTAAGTCAACTATGTAGATCTAATAACGTACATACAGCATAGAACAGTTCTTATTTTCTCTAATCTCTAATCGAACATTACTAAAAATAACTTATAAACATACCATGATGATAAAAATGATAATAATATAAAAAATGTTTTATAAATATTTAAAAATTAGATTTATCTAGCTTCGTAGCCAATCATTCTATCTAGATTTGTAGCCATTTCGTAGCTCACTTAACTGAAGTGAGCTACGAAATGGCCACGAATCAATGAAAAGTTAAGCCAAAAATAAATAAAGTAAGCCAGTTTTTGATTATTGTACAATAAGTAAAATCGTTGTTTAGTCCCTTCACTGTTAAATATATTATAAAATCCATAATAATAAATAAATATATTTTTTTAATATTTAAAATAAATTATTTTATTAATATAAAATGTTTTTCGGACTCCAAATGCTACATATTATGATGTATATATATATATATATATATATATATATATATATATATATATATATATATATATATATATAAACAAGAGTATAATTTAAAATATATTGTTTTTTATGAACGGTTAAATAATGAAAGCAACTCTAAAATACATTTTATGGTATAAAAAATTAATATATATATGGTAAAATATTAAAAAAATATTTTTGTAAAATATAATATATACTAAAATATCTATTTCCATCGATCCACAATTTATTTGGGAGTTGATGACGATAATACGATAAAATCATATTATAAAATAAAGGTTGTGTTTTAAGTGTTTAGTATTACATACTCGTAGCTTGACGTCGCCATCGCTGCAGGC